TTTTAAAAAGAGGATTGTCTGGTCCATTTGTGTTACTGCTGGGATAGATGTTCCATCAATGAACTATGTGTCTTTCATACACATGACGTCTGCATGCTAATAGAAGTAAAGGCCTGTCATCCTCTAGCTCCATCCTTTAGCTAGTTTAATGCATACTCCTTTCTGTTTACCAGTGTTATAACTAGTAGTATCAAAAACATATCCGTGAAACTTATTCTTAATTTCAAATTGGCCAAGAAGTTCCATGATTTCTGTTTTCTGCTCCTCTCCTATACTTAAAGTTAGAGAAGTTAGAGGTGGAATACCAAGTAGCTCTGTCTGTTCATTTATCCTAATTAATACAGTAAGTTCTTTAACAATCTTGCTATCAAAGTGCAGAATTATAGGGGATACTGATGACTGCAAGAGTAGAAATTTGTTTTCTAATATTCTCTCCTTCTTTGGTCAAAACCTTTCTACAGCTCTAAATGATGTTGCGCTAGACACAACAAAATTTGCCACAGAACCTTCAGAGTTTGTAATGGACACAATTGCAGTATGTTGTCTAGCAAACAGTCCCTCTCCTATAGCAGTAAGTGCTGTTTTCTGTAGAATATCTTTTAGAAGGAGAATCAATAAGCCATATTCTTCTTTGTCGATATCTGCTTCAAAGTCTAAATCAAAATTACTTTCATGACTACTTGCAGAGCTGTGTGAAATGTTAAGATCATTTGCAGTGCCTCCTTCACTATTCCTAGTAGTCAAATGAATCTTTTGTTATCTTTCAACGGCATATGAAAATCTTTTATCTTTTGTTTCAATTATTCCTTTCCATTCTCTCAGCTGATCCAAAATGAAAGCTTTAGCTCCATAAGTCCTCTTCTTATCTTTTCTGATCTTATCAATTAGTTTTTCAGGATTTCTACTAATCCAAAAGCAGTTCAGAAGCAATTCAGAAAATTTTTTCTAGGCTCAGTATTTGATGGACCATTCCTGTGACATCTTTACTTTAACATGTTGTAATAATTCACTGTGCTCTGAATCTTCACCCTACACATAGCAAATAAAAAATTTAAGTGAATTTCCATTTTAATGAAATACGTGCCTGAGACATTTAATTTTAAATTAATACTTGACATACAACATTAAGAATGTAATAAAATAACATACATGTTTCTACTAGATAAATATAAATAGTAAATTGAATTAAAAATTAAACATAAAAAAATTGTAAGGTTGGCCTTATGTTGTCCATTGAAATTAGAGGGAATCCAACTAGATTCTATGGCCCAATCAATTTAAACATTACACAGCAGTGGGTTTTCTCTGCAGGACATTGGAGCTCAAAAAAATTCATCTTAAATTTGCACCTGATTAAATCTATTTGCTTGGCGTTTGGATTTAGCTTTCTAAGATGTAGGTAGTACTTTCTAAGATGTAGGTAGATGTGCAGAACATCTTTGCCATATGAAAAGCAATGTTGGTTGAAATTTTAAAAAGCTATTTTTTTAAAACACCCTTATATATATATATATATATATATATATATATATATATATATATATATATATATATATATATATATATATATATATATATATATATATATATATATATATATATATATATATATATATATATATATATATATACCTTCAGAGTATATATATATATATATATATATATATATATATATATATATATATATATATATATATATATATATATATCAACTTGTTTCTACATCCAACGGCCTTGTTTGACGAGGTTCATGTTTTGGAGTTATAGAGTTGAGAGAGGATTAAAACCACAATTAAGTAGCCTCCTTGTCTGTAATGGCCTTCTAGGCCTTGGGAGTTAAATTAAAATTAAAAAATAAATAAGTAAAATATATATATATATATATATGTATATATAAACAGTTTCAAGAATTTTGTTGATTTGTGTTGACTTTGTGATTACTGTTTACATTTATTGTACAAGATGCATTTGTATGCAAAGAGTCTAGCTAATCATTTTTAGAGTTTGGTAGGTTGTGATAAAGAATTCCACAGTATGTTAAAATGAGTATAATTGAGACTGGGAGGTTCTTCTGCAAGAAGTGATAACAAATATTGATTTTTATGTATTTATAGCTCAAGGTAAAACATATTAAGTTAAAGTTGTAGGAAACGTTCATTATCTTTTGTTGCTTTCAGAGCCATTTTCCTTTACCACTCAACAAGGTTAAAAATCAGGTCATTTTTTTATAGACCATTTTGAGATTACTTTTATATCAGATAAATTATGCAATTCTATAACAAATTTATTATTGATCTTATCTTTAAGAACATTGAACACTCCATTTGTAGAATACACTATGTATATATATGTATATATATATATATATATATTTATATATATATATATATATATATATATATATATATATATATATATATATATATATATATGTATATATATATATATATATATATATATATATATATATATATATATATATATATATATATATATATATATATATAAAATTTAGTAAAAACACTCATCTAATTTTTGTCTTCAGCAAGTCTTCATCATCAGAAAGCTAATATATATATATATATATATATATATATATATATATATATATATATATATATATATATATATATATATATATATATATATATATATATGTATATATATATATATTAGCTTTCGTCTAAAACTAGAGAGTAATGGCATTTAGACAAATTTTTTCTTTGTTTTTTTAAAAGCTTGCTTAAACCTTAAAAGTTGTTTTTAGTCAACAAATTAATAGTAATTTTAAAATTATTTTTAGCTGTTAACATATTGTTTGCAGTAGATATTATGGATATTTTCGATAGCATTTTTACAGTGCTTCCATGAACAACTCCTTTTTCATGCATAGCAGCAAAATAATGCCAGTGCATTTTAATTGTATGTTTTTCTTTTAAAATTTTCATTGATATTTAATTATACTTATTTTTAAATTGAGTTGTTGCATTGTCACTAAAAACATGAATCTTTGTAACATCATCTGATAGAAGTTCCATATTTTTATTTATGTTTATAACAACAAAATATTTTGTATGATTGTTTGAGAAACGATTGCAAGAGATTGAATTTGATGATGCCAAACTGCACATAGAAATTTGATTTTTAAAAATACATTTAAAATTACTATAAGTAATAAACTTTGCACACATTTTTTTAATGTGTGATAATAATATTGGGATTGTTCCTTTTTTGTCAACTTTTTCTGTTGGTGTACGATTTTGTTAGAGGTTTCTGCCATTGGCTCCACGAAACATCAACTTTAAATAGATTATATTAGAGTAATAATTAATCAAACAAGCTATAAATTGTGCATTTATTACAAACTGAATCAAAACATTTGTATTTGTTTTTCACAAATTAAATTTGAAACCATGCAATTTACTGTTTTAATTGATGAAAATACATATAAACTCCACAAAAAGTGATTCAAGTGCATATCACATATTTTCATGTAACATGCAAACACAAATGTTATGAATAATTGATGATACACAACAAAGGTCAGTCTTAACTGAAAAATTTTGACAAATTTTAACATCTGTATATTTTAACTTTAACTCCTTAAAGCTTTTTTTAGTGTTTTTTTAGTGTCATGTTACATGACACTAAAACATGTGTCAAATTAAACTTTTTGTCTTCTATAGTTATAGAAATATAGTCTGTAGATCTGGAAGAAATTTGACTTATTTCATTGTTGCAATAATAACTTTTAATAGCCAGTGTGTAATAGTGTGTAAGTGAGTAATTTAATGATTAACTTTTATTTAGTAAACAGTGCAAGAGTTCTTTCTTTTGAACAAGACTTTTGGGAAGAGAATGATTTAATTTTTTCATATACTTTCCTTTAGCATGAACATTTGCAAATAAAAAGTGATTTGATTCCACAGAAGTCTTTTTTTTTTCGTTGACCATGTCAAGACTTACTTCACTTTTTATTCTTTTCATCTGCAATTTTTTGAAAATCTTTGTCTTTGAAGTCTTGTACTTTTCTTACTTCTTTTTGTCAGAATTTCTTATTATGTATTTTTTGTAGTTCAGAAAAATTTAACTTGGGTTGAATTGTTTTAAGTAATATTTGTATAATTTGACAAAATAAAGATAGAGTTGTTAATTTTTTTTTGTGGTAATTTGAGAGGAGGGATAGTTATGTTATAGGCCATATTTTGTTTTCATGCCCAAGTGGCTTTTAAGGTTTGAAAAATTGGAGTAATTTTGACATTTTTTACCAATGTTCAACCTTTTAAAAAAGTAAAATATGCTATAACTAATATTTTCTTGTTTTAATTCAAATAAAATTGTTGAAAATTTTTTACTTGAGTGTAACCTTGATAAGTTAAATTACAAAAAATTGTTACACAAGTCTTGCATTTTCAATTTAGTGTAGAAAGTAGTATATAATATATTTCTATATTTAGTTTCATAAGTTTATAAGATATAAAAGTCCTTAAAACATATTATATACATTTTGTAACTAATCAGTATAAATTTAAATGATGCGGCTATTCCCACTATGGCCACCTTTTAAATTTGTACAGCCCATGTAACACGAATGTAAAATTGAACAAAATATAAAGAATGAGAACTTTATAAAATTAATGAAAATCTTTAATTAGTTTTATTTACAAAAAGCCTTGAAAAAATGTAAAATCTAAACTTTTAAAAGTAAACTGTAAAAAATCTGTATAACTAAGTCACAGAATTAGGACTTAGTTTTAGCTCTAATTAAATTAAGAGTAAAATTATTAATCTAACTTAATTCAAATTAAAGTATTTGTTACAGATCAGTTTTCAAAAAGTTTTAAAATTAAGTTTTATGTATTGAAATTCATTGATATATTTCTTAGCTGTAATGGCGAATTACACAAGTTATCTTTTTATTTATTTATTTATTTTCAGTTTATTTAACATATGTCAAAGTATATTATTTTCTTTTCTATAATTTATTTTTAATTTTTTAGTTAACTTACTTACTTGGATTATGTTTAATAACTGCTTCAAGGTTTGTGTATTTGATACATACATACATACATACATACATACATACATACATACATACATACATACATACATACATACATACATACTTACATACATACATACATACATACATACGTACATACATACATACATACATACATACATACATACATACATACATAGAAAAGATTTCTGTCCCATAAAAAATAGCCCTCAGCTAAACCCTCAGTGAATGTAACAGGACTTTTTGCAGCAACAGGCTGTAAGATAGTTGATGTATGTACTGAAGCCCTTGGCTGCAGACTATTTCAGTGTGAATTCAGAGATGTTCTCATTCATCATTAACATCTCACGTCATTAACATTCATATATATATATATATATATATATATATATATATATATATATACTTATATATATATATATATATATATATATATATATATATATATATATATATATATATATATATATATATATATATATATATATATATATATATATACTATATATATATATATATATATATATATATATATATATATATATATATATATATATATATATATATATATATATATATACTTATATATATATATATATATATATATATATATATATACTTATATATATATATATATAATATATACTTATATATATATATATATATATATACTTATATATATATATATATATATATATATATATATATATATATATATATACTTATATATATATATATATATATATATATATATATATATATATATACTTAACAAATCACATATTGCTAAAAGTATATGTGAAGCGACTAAAAGTTTTATGAATGACTTTCTTATTCCAGCTTCAAAGGTACATTTAATTGTTACAGATAATGCAACTAAAATGGTAGATGGAATAGGAGAAGCAGGTTACAATAGTTTGTTGTGTTTTTTACACATTTTGCAACTTGTGTTGAATGATGGTGTATTTGCCCAGGTGTATATTAAAAATATATCAATTCATGTTAAAACATAGTTACCCAATTTAATCATTCTTCGTTTTTGTTTGAAGCTTCTTGAAAATATCAATATCAGGTGCCAAAAAATTGTTTCAAACAAGACATTACAACAAGATGAAATAATCAGTACTTTATGTTTGAAAGAATTTTTGAACAGAAGTGTGATCCCAAATGAAAAAAATCTTAATGATGAAAATCACATTTTAATCACATTTTTAGATCCAAGGTATAAAAGTATATTTTTTTCAACAAAAGAAAAAAGTTTTCTTGAAAGTATTACTTAGTATTTGTAACAACAAAAACAACGGTTACTTATTTGTAGATTTTTTTCATTTAATAACATTGCGGACAATCCTAATTTAACAGTGTGAGGATATGTTTTTATAATTGGAATCATAGTAAAAATAATTGGAATCGTAGCAAACATAATTTAACATTTACATTGTAATTGAAAGGAATTTTTATTAAAATTATTTGTCGCTTCAAGGTTGATAATCATTTTCGCATTGCATTCTATAGAAATAAAAGATCATTGCATTTAAACTTTTGTACAAAATATTTTCTTGCAATTTTTTATAGTTTTAATTTTGAAAATCACTTTTTTACACAAGCAATGTTTGAAACAATTGTTAAAATCAGACTTATGAATTTTATTTTGAAAACCAAATGCTTTAATGCACACTAGATAGTCTCTTGACGATTGCAACCAAAGTTTCATGGAGGAGCAGGGTTGCCAGATGGCTTTATGATTTTCTCCATCTGCTGACCATTTTTGTTTTTAAATATTGCAATTCCGTTATCACAATATTGACCAAAATTTTTTCTAATGCTGCAAATGTTAAACAAAAGAAAAATGGATATTAACTTCAGGACTTTTTTGTATGAAAATATAAGTGATTGATGATTTTATAAGTTGAGATATTCAATTTTAAGTGACGACAGTTGTGATATCTTTTATTAAAACAGAAAAATCAACAACACCAGAGTGTTTGCTTGCTTTGTTGGGTTTCGTTATAAACAGTATTCCTAAATGGTCATAAAATGAAATAAAACTTTGAATAAAATCTTATATTTGGATTGCAAATTGGTATACTCATTTGAGATTACTAACTCTTTGTTTTTATTGAATTTTTTAAAAAATTTTCCAATAAAGCATGGGATCGTTAAATTCAGAACAATAAAAAATTAAAAATAAAAAAAGTTAGTTAAACTAATGCAAAAACTTTATTTAAAAACTAAAATTTATTTTAATCTAAGTAACTTGAAAATTATAAAAATGCTTTATATTTTGATAATTTTTATTATTCAGAATAAATAAGCAAACATTTACGCTAATCAATGACATCAACTTCTACGCAGTCGTTATCAATTTTTTTTTCCTATGTCCACTCTCTAATCAAATCTTTAGCTATATTTATTCTATTTCTTACTCAAATACTTTTTCCTGATTTCTCAAAATTTCTCAGTGGGACGGAACTGTAGGCAGATTGGTGGTATCAAGCTATTTGGTATGAACTTGATGAACTTGTGATAAAAATTGAAATTGTAAAATTTCTTAACTTTCCTGACAAAAAACTCTGAAATGTTAAACATTTGGGCTCAATCTCTGCAGGGATTTTGCATAAATGGTTGTCGGAATCATAGCCACTACATTCTTATCCTTAAAACCACACTTTCTTCCATAGAGAATTTTTGTATTGTTTTATGACCATATAAAGAGTAGTTTAGCTTTGATTTGTTTTGATTCAGATGCTTTAGCAATTGAAAGTAACGATACAGAAGGATTTTGTGCAGAATATTTTTTCTTTTTTCTGTTTCAATGAAATTGTAATTAAGAAAAATATTTTAACTCGTTTGTTGATTTTTTTAATTAATGCTATCATTACTTAATGTAATTACGCAAAAAACTATGTTGATTAAACTAAATTGATGTTTTTAATTAATACTATCATGTTGTTACGAAGAAAAAATTTTTTTTTTCAATGTGTTAGTTTTAAATTAAAATTCATCAGTCTGATTTTAACGATTGTTTCAAACATAGCTTATGTAAAAAAGTGATTTTCAAAATTAAAACTATAAAAAATTGCAACCAGTTGCTTTAATGCACTCTAGATAGTCTCTTGACGATTGCAACCAAAGTTTCATGGCTGAGCAGGGTTGCCAGATGGCTTTATAGAATGCAATTTTTTTGTAAAAATAATGTCCCCATAAATAAAATATAATATATAGTAAATAAATAAAAATAACAAAAATAAATATAAAAAAAATATTTTATAAAATAATAAAATTAATATGATATATATAAATATGATAAATATAAATATGATAAATAGTATAAAAAAAAGTAAAAAAATAATTTAAAAAAAAAAATATGCCCCCGTAAATGCCGACTAGGAGTGTGTGTATATGTGTGTGTATATATATATATATATATATATATATATATATATATATATATATATATATATATACAACCCTTGGAATTAGGGTGGGCATTCAACAATGCGGACCTAACTGCCGACCTGAAAGTGTTTGAGGTTGTCAAAAATTTCCGACTTCATTTCTATGTTTTATGGTCAGACCTTTGTATCAAATAATTTTTGCTGACATGATGCCAACCTCAAAGAGATCAAAGTTAGCAAATTATTGCCAACCTCATTTTTCCTAATTCCGAGGGTTGTGTATATATGAAATATTTTATAATTAAGTTTTATATTGTAAATAATTCTTCTAATTAGTAATTTACTAATAAAATTTTTTAATAGTGTTTGGTTTTATGAACTTGAGGAGTTGTCAAGTCGCTTTAAATTTGAAGCTTATGGTGCTACAGTTTTTCTTGGTATGGGGGGTTCAACACTTCTTATTGTGTCTTTAGCAATGATATCTGAGATGATTGACAAAAATACGGTATTTCAAAAATACTTCTTTTTCATTTCTAGATTAATTTTGCTTCACATTTTTATCAAAGTTTAATCAAAAAATTCTCTAAAATTTTGTTTTATCATTAAATATTCCTTTTCATTATTTGTAATATTTCTTATAATTAATAACATTATTTGCTATTAAATGTAAAACAAATTTTGATTAGGATACTGCTGCATTTGTTTATGGTTCAATGAGCTTCTTAGATAAGATATCTAATGGAGGAGCAGTGATGATTATTCAGTATCTTCAACCTTGCAAGAGCATTCCGTATGCTAGAAATCTTATTAATTTAATGAAATTATGTTAACAAGTCTTTTTGTGTGTGTGTTTCTTTATTAGAGTTTAAAAATAAAAATGTTTTTTAAATTTGTTTTAAATGAAGATTGTTTTTATGAAATTTTATAAAAAATAATAATAATTAAAAATAAATAATGTTAATCAAACCTTAGATTTTATGAAGTATGATTTTTACATGTTTTTAGGATATGTTGCAAAGATTGTCAAGAATATTTTCGGTATATTATGAGTTTGGTACCAGGCTCCTGTGCAGTTTTAGCACTTATATGTCTTTTAACTTTGATAAAGTCACCCTTTGGTTCATTTAAGAAAAAAGGTTATTTTTTAATATTTTTTTTCTACATTTGTTTAGCATTGAGCATTTTTTTTAAGCATCTCTGCCTAATATAGCATTTACTTTCTTATGCATCCTTATTTTAAAATGTGTGTTTCAAAGTGTGAATCCATAATCATTTTTTTGGTAAACTTTTACATAACAGGTAATAAATAGATAAATTCCCTCTTTATCAAAAAATGTTTATAAATATCCAATCAAACATATAAAGTTTAACTACTTGTTTGTCTAAAATTCCCTCATCTAAATATATGTTTAGATTAGTAATTTAGTAGGGTTTAGAGTATTGTCAAATATAGAAGTAAATCTTTTTTCAATCAAGCGCAGGTGACTTTAAAATAAAAGAAATAATTTTACATTTGATTTTCTGTAATTAATTTTATTTGTAAATAATTTTAATTATTTTCATGATTTTTAAACAAATTTCTTTATCCACAATACTTAACAATTTAATTTTTTTTTGTATTACATTTCCTTAATGAGAAGATTTATACCATGTGCTTCACAGCCATATGTCAAGATGTGTGGAAATTTTTCTTTAATCAATTTCCAAGCAGTTTTCATTATTGGAGTATTGTTAGTGATAATGTTTCTAAACTTTTGTGGGCTAAGAAGTTTCGATTTGGTTTATAACTGCAGCATTTTGAACTATGTCCGATGTGTCGATTAAAGTATAAAAAAAACGGTTTTGTATTTAATGCCTTGATACAAAAATTCACTTATGATTGCAACCAATATTTGTCCAACCGTCACTGACGAGCGTTAAATTTCCAAATAATTTGAGTTTTTTTGTCTGTCTAATTAAAGCAATTTAACGGTTTTTAATGATTTGAAATTTTTGAAATGATTTTGAAGTTTTAACCCCCCTTAATTTGAGGGGGCTGTAAACTTTGTAGGGTCATAAAAACTAAAAACTAAGAAGTTATTGCATGAAATTTGAAATTCGTTAATGAATATAAACTTAGATAAAAATACTAAAGATATTATTTTGTCAACTTGTTGCTCTCATGTTAAGGGTTGGGTGGGCCCAAAAATTGGGGGTTTTTTGTCCCCAAGCTCCAATCACCACAACTCTTTGCAAAACATTCTCATTTGACATAAGTATGAACATACAAAAGTTTGGAGTTTGCAAAATACATGTAAGTGTCAAAACTCAAACATCTAAAAAGTGTACACCACTGTATATATATATATATATATATATATATATATATATATATATATATATATATATATATATATATATATATATATATATATATATATATATATATATATATATATATATGTGTGTGTAAATATATATATGTATAAATATATATATATATATATATATATATATGTATAAATGTATATATATATATATGTATATATATATATATATGTGTGTGTAAATATATATATGTATAAATATATATATATATATATATATATATATATATATATATATGTATAAATGTATATATATATATGTATAAATATATATATGTACAAATATATATATATATATATATATATATATATATATATATATATATATATATATATATGTATATATATGTATATATGTATGTATATATATATATGTATATATATATATATATATATATATATATATATATATATATATATATATATATATATATATATATATGTATATATCATTAATATAGGCATTAACTTTATTTATATAATTTTACATTTGTCACACAATTCTTTTTTGGTAAAAATTTTATGCTTTTATGAGTCAAATTAAATTTTCACAAATAAAACTAAAAAACTCACAAAAATAATCCAATTATTGTAATATTGTAAAAACTTTGTTGTTTTGCAAACTAAATCAAATGAAATAAAATTAAATAATAATCTTATAAATTAAATATGCTTAGATATTATTTAATAAAGATTTTTATTCTGTGTTACTTAAATTTATCAAATATACAACAACAAAAAAAAAAAATATCTTTAAAAATATACTTTAATGCTAAAATTTGCTCTATTAAGTATAAATATCCAAATATATCCAAATTAACAATGAAATATGTATAATTATGCATCTAATCAGTGGTTCTGTTTATGTTATCTAACTATATAAAATGTTTAGGAAAAAATTTTTTTTAGATATTTTTGTTTTGAGAACAATCAAATTTTATGAATGAAAGAATCATTTTAGTTTCTAAGGAATAAAAGTTTTTTCTGGTAATTGATCATAGAATTTTTCTGTTAATTGTTCCATCATAGAATTTTTCTAGTAATTGTTCATAGAATTTTCTAAATTTAAAAGATCGAACTTTGATTAGTTCTTTTTCGTTATTTATTTTTTTACATTTAGCAGTGACTGCCAAGCCAGTAGACTGCTGATATTTCATTGGATAAAAGGTAATTAGAACAGTGTTCAGATACATTAGTTTTATAAGGCTTTTTTTTTTTTAAGATGAAGTAATAAATTTTTTCAAATAATTTAGTTTTTAATTTAATAACAGATATTTTTAAATTAATTTCCTGAAAGTATTACACTAATAAATTATCCAATTTTTTATGAGATAAATTAAAAGTTTTACTATGAAAATATTGCATTAAAAAATTACCAATTTTAATATAACTGTATTGCACTAAGAATTTACCAATTTTACTATGAGTGTATTAAGCTAAGAAGTTATAATTTTTACTAAAATTTTATTGCACTAATAACTTAGCAGTTTAACTTTAAGTGCATGACATTAAGAAGTTACTAGTTTTGCTATTAAAATATTGCATTAAAAGTTACCAATTTTACTATGACTGTATCACACTAAGAAATTACCAGTTTTACTATGAGAGCATTGTATTGTGCAGAATATATACAAGTTGAAACAATATTTTATTATATGGAAAGGCATCCTAAATTTACTCTTCTCATATGAATGTTTTTATAACTATTTAGAGTGTGTCCAATTTTTTATACATAATACTTTTATGTTTTAAAAGTTTTTAAGTCAGTATAGCAAAATAATTAAAATCAAAGTTGTTAGACTCTGATTAGATATTAGAATTAAAGATTGATATATTAAAAATTGAAGATTCAATGACTTACATAGTAAAAAGTCCAGTTGAGGTGAGAGCAATCTCCAAAGTCTTTAAAAATTGGAACCACAAATGTCATTTTCCAGCAGGTAAAAAAACAATATTCAGTTGAGCACCTACTAAATAAGATTTAGGGAGAAAACTTTTGTAAGACTATAGCAGAAATATTGTCCACAGGCTGTAACATAGTTTCAATAGAAATAATGTTAGCAGCAAAAGTAGGTGTGGTTTGAACAGGAAGAGTGTGATCAAGATTAAAATATTTTTGGAAAAACTTCTGCTTATCTTTAATGTTAGTGACATTGTTAATGTCACTTTGTTAATGACATTGGTAATAATTAGAAAAATTTATCTAAAAAAAAGATCAGTTGATGAACCATCATTAAGAAAATCACAAAAATAGTTCCATTCAACCTTAAATAAGAAGTAAGAAGTGGAATGGTAGAATCTATTGTAGGGTGTATGGTAGGGTGTAATTGTAGAGTGAATCTAATGTAGCTTATTCTGGGCCACCTAAAGGATAAATGGAGAAAGTACTAACAAGCTATGGTCAAAGACAAGACATATATCAAAAATAAAAGCTAAAACCTACAATGTTAAGTAGGTTGTCTGAAAGTTAAAATTTGTTTAGTACACAAAGTAAGATGTTGAGAAAAACAAAGGTTTTGTGCTTTCAAGGTTAGTCAGTGTTAAGGTCTGAACTGAGTCATTTAGTAATATTAAAGTCATCAATAATTGTTATAAATAATTAAAGTCATCAATAATAGTAAGATTGACTGTTGGATAAAAAGAAAAAAGGTTTACTCGATTTAATGAGAAATATCGAAAAGAATGGAAGCTTTTGGAACAATATAATGCAATTAATGAAAGTCATTGGAAGGAGAATGATAAAGAACAATAAGATAAACAAATAAATGAAAAGCTGAAATTAAAATCACACAAAAGAATATTCAGAGGATTCAAACCTAATATCATAAATGCAAGTGAATTGATACATAAGTACATGCCCAAGTCAACCATCTTTTTTGCTCAGCAATAAGCTGAGCTAAAAAGTTTTAGCAAGGTGCCGCAATCAAAAATTCATCATACCAAAAAATATTGTAAAGCAGGTTTACATTTATGCATGCCTATTGTCAGAGAGAATGACAAATCAACTCAGAAAAAAATAGTATCAAGGCTAAAATTTGGTATGTAAAATAAAAGCTGTATTGATTACATTTTGGTAACTTCCTTTTTGTGGCAACTTTAAAGGGCAAAATTTGGGTCAATTTTTACTATATACACAGCGAAATTGTGAATCCATTGTCTATGTTTTAGGAAATTAGTTTCTTTACACAAGATATATATTTCTTGTTTTAAGAAATAAATTGTGAAGTAAGAAATATTTTTATCAAAACAAGAAAAATATTTCTTAACAAGAAATGCAATTTTGATGTGTATGGTTGGATATCAAATTTTTATGTATATATATATATATATATATATATATATATATATATATATATATATATATATGTGTATATATATGTATACATGTATATATATATGTATACATGTATATATATATGTATATATATATATATATATGTATAAATATATGTATATATATATATATGTATACATATATATATATATATATATATATATATATATATATATATATATATATATATATATATATATATATATATATATATATATATATATATATATATATGTATATATATATATATGTATATATGTATACATGTATATATATATGTATATATATATGTATATATATACATATATATATATGTATATATATACATACTTATATATATATGTATATATATATGTATATATATATGTATATATATATGTATATATATATGTATATATATATGTATATATATATATATATATATATATATATATATATATATATATATATATATATATATATATATATATATATATATATATATGTATGTATATATATATATATTTATATATATGTATGTATATATATTTATATCTATATATCTATATATATATATATATATATATATATATATATATATATATATATATATATATATATATATATATATATATATATATATATTTCCCAAAAAGATGACAGTTTTTTATACTTTTTTTTTTGAGGAAAATAGTTTCTATACATATTCTATATATAGAAATTATTTTATTCAAAAAAAAAAAGTATAAAAAACTGTTATCTTTTTGGGAAGTATATATATATATGTGTGTATATATATATATATATATATATATATATATATATATATATATATATATATATATATATATATATATAATATATATATATATATATATATATATATCTTTTTTGGAAACATAAAAGAAAAATGGGCAAATTTAAGAGTAAATTATCCTAACATTTGAGAACAAAACTACACTTTTCAGACGGTAAACAGTTATAAATTAAGCTGTTTACAAAAAAATTGCAAAGCTCTGCGGTAATAAAAAAATATTTTCCTAGTTAATATGTAAATTAATTAGTTTTTATTTGGATTTGTATGAAATATTGATTTAAAAATGAATTAGCTTACTAGTTATTTTGATAAAATTATATTTTTATTATACAGCTGTTTTGTTTTAAATTACATTCTTATATTTTTATTTGGATATATAACATTACTAATTATATTTAAGTATGTTATTTATGCAATCAATGGCAAATCATGACAAGTAGAGGCCCTTATTGTCTAAGCCTTAAGCCTAAGAGTGTTCCTAATTGAAGGCCCTTAGTTACAATTTAAAAATCAAAAAAATTTTTAACTTTTTAAACAATGCCTAAAAAATTAAATAACATGATTGGCCCTTTTTGGAGTCACTCACTCGCTCGAGTCCCCTCACTAGCTTGGGTCCCTTGTTGCTTAGTTTGTGTACCTTATAATGTAACATATAAATTAAAATTTGTTTAAAAAGTTAAACCATATAAGTAGTTATTTACATTTTTAAAATAAGTAAAGAATTTGAGAGCATATAGTTAGCAAAAGCATTTACTCAGAGATTACTGAAACAGAAAAAAAATTAGTATTAAGGTTTGAGACTTCGAAAGGTGGAATTGAATAAAAGGGCTTAATATAAACACAAATAAGACTAAAGTTGTGCGTTGTTGGTTTTGAGTGTAGAAAATGTACTTTTGGTGAGTATAAAGAAGAAGTTAAAAGAGAAATTGAAATAAAAAGTGGAGAAAAGATAGAGCGTGATAGTAAATTTTGTTATCTTGGAGATACAATTGGATCAGCTGGTGGTGCAGAAGAAGCATCTAGGGCAAGAGTAAGGTCTGCTTGGGCCAAGTTCTGACAATTATCTCCACTTTTAATAGCAAGAGGTGCTTCATTAACAGTTAAAGGAAAGTTCTACAGCACATATGTCCAATGTGTTATGATGTATGACAGTGAAACATGGGCAATGAAGGTTGATGATGTCTTTTGGAAAGAAAAAAAAAGATGATGATAAGATGGGTATGCAGTGTGAAAATAAAAGCAGTGATGATTTAGGAAAAAGATTAGGCATTGTGAGTATATCTGATTGGGTTCGTCAGGGAAGGGTTAGGTGGTTCAGGCATGTAAAGCGTAAAGATTCAAATGACAGGTTATCAACATGTAGAGAGTTAGAAGTTGCAGTAAAAAAAGCAGAAAAACTTGAAATTTGTTAGAAAGGTAGAAGCAGAAAAACTTTAAATTTGTTTCAGATAATTTGAATAAGATACATTTAAAGAAAGAAGGTGTTTAAAACCGTGTATGTTAAAGAAATTGCATTATGAGAAAAGTCTAATTTGTGCAAGCACAGAAAAAAAGAAGCTAAAATGATGATGATGGCGATGATGATAATGATGATGGTGATAATGATAATGATGATGATTACTAATTTAGCCAATAAGGTTTAAGATTGATGCAATAGCAACAGCTACTTTAATTGACAATGGAGTAGTAACTAAGAATAACAAATCTCAGATAATAACAAAATATAAGGTGTTTTGTTAAAAAGCAATTGGTTAAATCACTTGAAATTAAGCATTGTCCATAGATTTCACAATTAAAATTAATTGGTGTGGATGGCAAGAATGATAAAAATTTGTTAGTCTATGCAATGAAATACAATGGGTATTGTATAAAACAACTCAAGATGAACATCACATCAATTTTACTTGTTAAAGTAGACTTTTTTCTGGAAAATATCTGAAACATGTTAAAGTAGAAGATAATACAGTAAACAGTATGGCTTCAGCAACACTAAATGCTCCTTCTGAATATTATACTATTGAATACTTAGAAACAATTGCTCTAGATAATACAAGTTCCAACACTGGTGTTAACAATGGTTTAGTTGTCTAATTAAAAAAGATTTTTAAATGTAGCATTCAAATATGGGTTACTTACTTGTCTTGGTGAGTTACCAGCAAAAAGTAAAATTCGTCCAGCAAAGCAAAATAAGATATGTAAAAATATCATCAATTATAGTTAAGAATATTAAATATTTAAATTTTTTATTATATTTTTGCGAGGCCCCTTCATTTAAATTTTAACAGAAAATGAAAACAAATATATTGTCATGATTCGCCGCCTAAATCAAAGATGTACATTGTAGCAAAATTTGCTTTTAAAAAAGTTTTTCGTTTCATGGCTTGTGTACCCCCGGTTTAAAGTTTATAAATACTCATTTGGTATTAAATAATTTTTTAGGAGTTGCTATTGCAGTCCTCTGTATTCGGCAGTGCCAACCTAATAAAATCTGAGGTCGGCGGTATTTTGACGGCCTTATTTCTATGTTGCTATCGTAAAACCTTAGTGTTTTGTGCCGAAAGGATGCCGAATAAATATAAATCGGGAATAAATTGACGACCTTTTTTTTTTCTGATTCCGAGGGCTGTTATTGGATGATTAAACGTTTCCATCTAATGCGCGCGATTACATGCGCTCAAGTTAAAACGTTTAATCGAAGAAATATATATACAAGTAATATCTTATTTTATTAAATTTTTTCAATTATTTTACAATTTATTAGAAACTCATATTTTGATTGATTATTTCGAAAAACTAATAATTCATCGTTCCCCCCAATAACTGCTGCTTTGTAATAATTTGTAATTTTTGTAATATAATATAATATAAAATAATGTAATTTTTATTGTTATTAGAAAAAATCCTTCAAAATACAAAGTATGGTTCACTTGATTCGAAGTTTGAACGCAACTCGACTATACAATCGTAACTTTACTTGTTTTATCTTAAATTATTATTGTACTTTTTTATATTTGTATCAATTTTTTTGTGTGGAATATTTGCTAGCTGTTAGAGTTTTTTAAAGAATTTTTACACTTTACGTACGCTCTGATTGTACAGTATTTTTCGTTTTTGAATCAGTTTATAAAAATAAATACGTTTAGTTTATTTATAAATATTGAGAATATATAATTTTAGATTTTTAAATAGTTTTCTGAAAGTTGATTCTATTTTTTAATGATTTTAAATTTTTTAAATCATTTTCAATGAGTATGCATTTGTAGGTTAATACATCCTAGCAAAATAAATAAAAATAAATTCACTTATACGATGGCTCAGTCTCAGTAGAGTCTAAAATACTTGAGGCGAATACTTTTTCAAGTTGTTCCAATACCCCTCCGTGGGTCCTATCCTCCGTGGGTTCTATCCTCCGTGGGTCCTATAAATTTCATTAAAATAATAATAGTAAGTCTCACTTTTGATTTGTAATTTAGTTTCAAATAAAAACTTTAAGTCTATCAGTTTTAAGTCAATAGTTGTTACTAATAAATAAATATCAAGTATATATATATATATATATATATATATATATATATATATATATATATATATATATATATATATATATATATATATATATATATATAAGCTAAATATATATATATATATATATATATATATATATATATATATATATATATATATATATATATATATAAACTAAAACTATTATGCACCATAAGAGATATCCTTATTAACTACTGTGTGCTTATAATAGTTTTATTTTCAGAGTATAAACTTATTTTCAGAGCTTCTTCGCTGCGGCATTCATGCTAGCTTCAGCTATGTGACTGTTATAATTTCTTTGTTTAACTAGTTAAAAAATTTCTTTATGGGATCAAACATGTTCATAAAATCCAAAACTTTTCAATACTACGGTATACTTTACCCATTTCTCAAAAAACTAATATTGTACATAAATAAACATTAAAAATTCATTGCTGCTGGTTTGTTTATAATTTTGGTAGAATAAAACTTCTGAATAAAATTGAGATATAGTTTTATAAACGATATTGTTTTGAGCATCATAAAAATTTATAATTTAAAAATTACATTCTAGGAAGTTTTTGATAGCAAACAATGGCAGCCATTATTCCATCTCATATGTTGGTGTTGATACGTTGGTGTTCATGTAGCAGTCATTTGTAACATTGAACTGATCGTAATTAGCAGAACTATTATTTTTATTTACAAAACCATTATTTAAAAGTTTTACAGCTTATTTACTGCTGGATCTGGATGTACACATGTCCATTTAAATTTTTTTTTGCTATGCTACATTCAAATTTTAGTTCATGCAAATTAGATACAATTTCTTTAGCTGCTATGCTTGTTGATTGATTTTGGTTTTCTTCTAAAAGTTTAAATAAGTATTTTACTACGCCTTGTTTTATTTCTTTTTTCTTTTTTTTTCCATTACTAATATTATTTAATCGAAGTGATAGCCTAAATGTAGAGTGATACAGAAAAAGCAACTATAGTTGGAAGTTTCAATAAAACTCATGTAGCCAAATGCACCAAAGTATTTACCAATAAACAAAAAGTAGTTTTAAAGTTGCAATCACCACATCTGGTATTTTATATAAAAAATATATACTATAATTATGATACAATATCCTTTTCAGCTGTATAGCAACGGAATAAACAAAGCGTTGCTATGAAAAAATAAAAAAATTTACTTATACCGCTTTATTAAAAAATAGTTTTTAATGGTGTTAGCTATTTTTTTTCATAAAACTAACTTGAAACTCGTAATTTACGATAACTATATTACTTAAAAAATTATAATTGAAAAAATATATTTTTTTTCTTTTTAATAGTGGTCTACCACTTCAAATATTGCCTTCAAAAAATGCACAAAATGCTTCTGAAAATAGATAACTTGAAAAACCTCAATTAGCTATATGCTTAAAAACTTGAAAAACCTCATTTAGCTATATGCTTCTGGGTAATATTGACTCAGGTTAAGAATGATATTGGTTTAAGCTTAAGGTTAATATTGGCTCAGGTTAAGATTAATACTTGTATAAGGCCAAGGCCAATATTGACATAATTTGTTTTAACTATAAAATTAAATACCCTTGTAGTTACAAGGTATTATACATTATACATACAAATAAAACATGACTTAATAACATTTTAAATGTTATATTTGTTACACTTATGATGTAATATCAGCCGAGAACCACGAGGCCGTATGTCCATTTTTTGTATTTCCGAGAAAATCAAGTTTTAATAATTATTTTGAAAAGACTTTCTGCCAGAGTGTCCGACTAATTTTTTAAATATTTAAAAAGTTGTATCATTTTTGAAACTAAATTTATTAGACATATACCCCATTAATTGTTGAATATTTATTAATAATAAACAGAAAAAACACAAAATGTGGACATACAGCTTCTTGGTTCTCGGCTGACGACACGTCTATCAAGACTTTACGTGTTATATAATTTAAAATTATATAATTGCGATATAATATGAAATTCTAATTTTAGATTTCCAGACCTGTGAAATATCAAGTTTTTGAGTACTATTTTTAAGTAAGGACTTTGCTAGGTGCTGGAATTACTTTAACTATTGCAAAGACATTTAATCAATAGAATTCCTCAAGGAATTAGAAGAAATAGCGCTACACCATTTTATTTTTGTGTTTACTATTACCTATTAAGTGGGCAACATTGAAACGTTAAGTAAAAAAAACATACTTTTTAGAAAATTTATGTTTGAACACTTTGTAAAAGTTTTATAATCTATAATCTTTTATAAAACTTTTTATAAAACTTTTATAATCTATAATCATGTCTAAACAAACGAATTTTTTTTTTTTTTTTAAACATTATATTTTGCTGTTGAAGAAATATTACAGCCTACATAATCTTCCGAATAAAATTAATGGCCGAAGCAAGATAAAGACATTATTTTTGTCATATCGTCGAGCACCATGTTACAATATAGATTTTTTACAAAGTTTTTCCAAGAGTATAAAATATAAATTGATAATTAAATAAGACAAATTAAAAAAAATATATTATCATTAAAATAAGATCACCTTCAGGCGCGGACTGGCCCACCGGGAAACCGGGAAATTTCCCGGTGCGCCCCACCATCCATCCCTTCCCCCGCCAAATCATAAGATGTATATCTCCATATAACCACATGTTACATATAATTAATAACTATAAAACCATTTAGTGTTATCGCTTCATGTGAAAATTCATGATCCTTCAATTTCTCATAATACAATTGGAGCATCATGTATATCAGGGGCGAATTCAAAAATATTTTAGGGGAGGACAGAATAATATTTTTGACTTTTTAACAAATACTCGCGTGAATTTGTTTTTCTAATGCTGTTTACTTTACTAAATGATAGTGTAAACTAGAATCTTTACTTCGTTCAAGATAAAAGTTTGAAAAAAGTGATTAGGAAAAGTCTGAGTTAGGCTCCCCTTCTTATTTTTGATTCCAAAAGCGTGTCAAGGAGATTCTTTAAAGAATCTCCGTGACAATTTTGCATTTTTAAATGCAAAATTGTGTGCTTTTGTTTAAATTAAATTATTAAATTGCTTCTTTTCGAAGGGAAATTATTGCACTGATAACGCTACAAAGAACAATGGAAAATATTGCTCTAATTATATTTTAAAGTAAAATATATAACTGTTTTAAAATTTAATGTTTTTAAATATTCGAGATCGTTTAAATTTAAAATCGCGTTTTTTTTTGTTAAATTAAGTGGTTTAATTTATTTATAGTGCTTTTTTGCATCAACGTAGAAATATAAAGAAGACTAAAAAATAAAAAATGAATATCTAAAAAAACCTTTTAAAGACAACAATTTAAAAATAGACTAAAAAGTAAAAAATGACTTTTATTACGCCAGTGTGTAAATATACAGTAAAATCCCGTTAAGGTGGTACTAGTCCATAAAAATTAAAACAGTCAATTTATTTAATTTGATGTAATATTTTTTTAAAACTGTGTGTATTATAAAATTATTTAGAGTAAATATTATAAAAAGTATAATTGTACTTGAAAACATGCTGAGTCAGCAAAAAATATGCAATTTTAACTTCATTTTCAAACAAGGATTTCTCATGAAATAGTCAATGTGTGAGGCTAAAATTTTGAAAAAAAGGTTAACAACATGTTGATTGAGGGATTGACCAGAATCACCATCAGAACTTTTACAGAATCAAAATGGCTGCACTTTAAAAAATAATTTTTAATTTTTATGTAAAATTTGTGCTGCCAATGTCAATATCTCGACAACAGCTAACTATAAGATATTCTTGTTCAAAGTTCAAAAATTTATTAACAGAGAAAACGCAAGAAAACAAAATAAAACAACTTTAACAATACATATCTTTAAAAATTTCCAGACACTTAGGACTCATCCTTGCTAAATCCTTTACTTATACCTCTCAATTTTTTCCTCCTTGATTTTGTTACTTTTTTTTCCTTCTTTTCCATATGAATGATGCGATTGTTGTCCTTTTTAATTGCACCGTGAAGGAAATATTTTCCACAATGAAATCCAAGTTGTTGAAATGTTTTGTTATGTGAAACGTAACATCTATTAAAAGATATAACTGCTGAGAAAACAGCTAACTCTAAAACATTTTTTGAAAACAAAATTTTGGGGCATTTTTTCCAGATTATTCGATTAAAAGTCTCATTAGGATTTTGGGTATAGCTGTGTAAATATTTTGACGAAAGATTGTCAGAACAAATTTTGATGTGAAAATTGAGCAAAAGGTAAGTTTACTACTCTATGCCTTTACCAAAGAATCAAAAACCATGAAGAATCTAAATCACATAACTCTTCTGTAATTGCACTATTAAGTTGTACAACAGAGAAAGATATAAGCTCTTTAATTAACAAAGGTATAGTGGAAAAGCAGAAAGCGCAAGTATTGATAAACATCGAAGTATTTAAACAAATTTTTGCAGCAGTTATTTTTATTGGGAAGCAAGCTCTTCCATACAGAGGTAATTGGGGTGAATCTCTCTACAGTTTACACAATAAATCTATTGATAACGGAAACTTTTTGGAACTAATATTGCTGATAGTTTGACGTTCCTCTTAATAATCATATATAAAAAAAGCTATTTAGGCAAGTCAAAAAAGGAAAGATTGTTTGATACGT